TGGTCACGCCGCAATCCCTTCTCCTCCATTCTCCTCTCGGGATCTTGGGCACGCACGCACACGCGCCCGGCGTGAGTTTTAAGCCACCGGGTCCGGGACACGAACCGCGGTCGACTACGTGGGAGTCCAGCGACATAGCCATTACGCTAACTGCTGGTTCCCTCGTCTTATTTTTTTGAGAGAGATTTTTGCTATAGGGTATGTACACTTGCCAGAGAGTCAGAGAGACAGAAAATGAGAAATCAGCCCCCCCAACCCCCATGGGGATGGCCATGCCACAATCCCTTCTCCTCCTTTCTCCTCTCAGGATTTTGAGCATGCACACACATGTGCCTGGTGTGAGGTTCAAGCCACAGGGTCTGGGTCGAACTGCTGGACTACATGGGAGTCCAGCAATACAACCATTTTGTCATCTGCTGGTCCCAATTTTATTACTATTTCAAAATTACTATTATTTTAATTTAACCAGAGAGAGAGAAAGGGAAAATAAGAAGGCAGGCCAACAGGTCTTAGACTTAAATCATGGTTGGCCATGTGGAAGTCCAGTGTCTTACCCACCATGCCACCTGCCAGCCCCCATACTAGCAATTCTTAACTTGAGTTTGATCACAGATAACTTTTAGAATCTGATCAAAGTCATGAATCATCTCCCCAGGAAATCCTAAATACACTTGTGAAGCACCATGGCTGTCAGGTTAAGAGGTAAGGGTAGAGTCCAACAGAAGATGAAAAGCAAAGAAACACCTCAGCCTGCTGAAAGGAAATAAATGGCACAAAGCTGATGGGTACAGCTGCTCCCATGGTAAGGTTACCCTAGGCTGGCTGAAGGTAGGACAGAGCAGGCAGCTTACTTTGTTCAGGGCAGAGGGTGGCTGGCTCACAGGTGGTGGTGTTAGACCACTACATTCTCACCAGAACAGGAAGACTTATCTGTGTAATGCCCACTGGTGGTAGGGCTAACTAAGAAAATCCTCCCAAAGAGATAAGTGATCAGGCAGAAAAGCAGGACTCCGAAAGCCAGTGTGAAAGCAATCCAAGTTGAAAAGAGCAATAGTGTGTGTGTGAGGGTAGGGGTGGGGGGACTAATGTAAGGTATGAGGGAAAGATTTTAAATACAGTGACAAGAAAAGCCTTCTGGGCCAGGTCTATGGGACTGCTCAAAAGAAACCAGACACCATATGGAGACTGTGGTTCAAATGCCTGGCCCAGTCAGCCTGAAGCAAGCCGGGCATGCATGTGAGCGCCCAGGATCCAACAGGCTGAAGAACTGGAGGAGCAGCGTAGAGGCAAGACCAGACACTGGAAAGTGTCCATATCTCTTTCTCTCTCTCTCACGTATGTGCATGCATTCTATCATGAATTTTGAAAGAGAGAGAGAAGAAGAGAAAAAAAAGAAAGGCCTTCTGAGTTGGCGAAAAGGAAACAAAATTCATTTTTCCTAGCTGTGGTAGAGATGGAAGAGCTAGAAAAGATCAGAATTTTATTTTAAGGCTGAGTGGCTCCATCTTACCTGCAATAGTTATGGTCGCCTAGGCCCCCCTCCCCATTGGGGTATTTCAGAGTGTTGTAGGGATGCTGGAAAGTCTCGTTCCAGAACAGACATGGCTTCCCGCCTTGAAGAGCTGTCCAGTTTTGCGTGCCCCTATAATCCACACCATTGGCTGTGAAGCACTCTAGGAGAAAGAAAAGACAGAGCAGACTGATTTTCTGGCAACATCTATAGTCTCCTCCCTCATTGGTTGATGTTGTATTTGTTTTGTTTGGACTGTGCTGGAAATAGAGAATGTCTTACGAGATCCTGGATGTGGTGCAGCTAACTGTGGTGGGGCTGAGTAAACCTGAAAAGAGGTACCCTCCAAAAGCTAGACTAATCTTGGAACTGGCTTGACTATCTACTCGAACATTTTCTCCTAAAGTATACAGATTCCAATTAGGACATAAACAAGGAGCTGAAATGTATTGAAGCCCATGAAGTGAACCAAGAAACCCCCTAAATCTGGGAACAGTTGGTAACAGCCATCCATGTGGATTTCTGGGTACTCGGAGGGGGTCATTGCTCTCGCCAGTGTCTCTGTGTGGTAACTAGAACCAGGTCACCAGCTGTAACTGAGCTCTCCCCTACAGTCTGAAAGGCTGCACTGACACTTGGATTTAATAAGACCATCGGATACAGCAATGCTTTGGAATCCCAATCACACAAATCTGGGAATGACTCACATTCCCTGGTAATGAAGAACAGTCCTCCCCAGGCTGTTGGAGATAGGGGTGCAACAAAACACAGCCAGTACCAGGAAGGAAGGGCAGGTCTGGCATTTGCTCTCACCTCTTTCTGAATTTCTTTCCTATGAAACACACTGAAAATGGTCTCAAGTCCCATTTAATAAAATGACAAATCCTTGCAGGTGCAACAATGTGCTTCAAAAATCTGCTTCTCAGGGTTGTGAAGGGGTATAAGAACTGAGGCCGACAGGCTCTCCCCTGACATATTGCATGCATTAAACTCACAGAGGTTCATGAGAAAGGCAGAGTACAAAGAGAGATTTCTTAAAATTAGTTTAGTTGGAACTGACAGATAGAAGCACTTCAAACACTTCTTGAAGATGTATCATTAGGAAACTGACAATCTGGGGAGTTACACTCACATTCTTAGCTTGCTTGCTTCCCTTCTTCTGGCGTGCACTGACCCGCGACTTCCGGTATTAAGGGCCCTAACGCTATCTCCTGTGGTGCCACAAGTGCCTGCTCCAGTCTAAGCATGTCGACAACATGAGAAAACGGCCATTCTGGAAAGTATTTCTTTTGATATTTAAACAGAATATCTCTCTTCCAGTAGCCTCTTCCTCCCACCTTGTGGTCCCCGTGTTTTGTCTAGAATGGCACTGTCTTACGGGTAGCCAAAATAATCTGGAATGCCAGGCTCTACAAGAAAACCCTAGCAATTTATGACGTCTTGTGCAATACTCATATGTTATGATAAGTATGGCTCATCATATACCACAGCAACCAAACTCTGTACCAAGAATCTGCATAAATAAGAAAGTTCAAAGGTAAGTGAAGGAGGCAAACCCATAGGCTAAGCCTTGGCTTCTTGTCTCAGACTTGCTACCAACCAGCTATGTGACCTTGGACAAATCGTCATCATCCACACCACGCTAATATTTGCTGAGTGTTTTACTGTGTGTCAAAATGTCCTGAGTGCTTTACAAATGTCACCTCACCATGAACCCAGCAGAAAGAAACCCTCATACCCCTATTTTACAGATGAGACAACTAGGGCACAGACCCACACCCTAGACTGTCCCCAGCAGAAGTCCTCCTGGGACCAGATTTGCTTTGTCTACCCTGTTCATACTTTCACTTCATCAGTAAGTACTATTGACTTTCTTGAAATACATACCCTGGAAATGACATTGCCTCTCTATCTTCAGTGCCATCACTTTTTTTTTTTTTTAAAGAAAATTATTTATTGCCAAAGGGCACTTACACTTGCAAGAGAGAGAAAGAGAGAGAGAGAAAGCACTCCTTAGGGGGATGACCACACTATAATCCCTTCTCCTCCATTTTCCTCCTGAAATTTTGGGCATGCACACACATGTCCCAAACATGTCTCTCAAACTGCCGGGTCTAGAACTCAAACCACATAGTAGGCCACGTGGGATCTAGCTACCTATTCTCCATGCTATCTGCTGGCTCCAGTGCCACCGCTTTGGTCTTGGTCATTATGAAGGGACGGTTCAGGTTTCACAGGTTCCATTTTTATTCTCCATACAGAACTCAAAAGTTCTCAGTAAAACAGAAGCACTCAGAACAAAATCCAGACCTTTCATTGACATCTGCAAGGCTTCTGTGTTACGGCCCCCAAACCCCTCTTTCCACAGCTCAAGTTCTGCCCTCAGTCACTTGCTGTGTTCTTTTCACTGGTCTGCTTTTAATTCTGAGAACACACCATGCAATGTTCTTCTCCAAAATGTTCTCCCTCTGATAGCTGCCATCACAAGCTAAATGTTATTTCTTCACATGACCCTTCCATCATCTCCATTACTATCTCCAGTCCTAGTTTTCTGTCCTTCACTTGTATCCCTTGCACAAATCACTAGGAATATATTAATATCTGATGTGCCTGAGAGGGAAGGAATATGGTATGTACCACTCCAGGGCCCTATCCCAACCCCAGGGCTACAGCGGGACCTGGAAACTTACAGCTCTAAAAAGATGCCCAGCAAAGCTAGAGGACATATGTCCAGTGGAAGTAGCTGCCACAGAAAAACAAGATGCCACGTGTTCTCACTCACATGTAGAAATAAAGAAACTACCTCACAAAAGTACAGTTGATATAGGCTGAGAAGGATAGGAGTGGAGAGACAGGGACGTTAATTAACAGAAATGAGATTACAGATAGATAAGAGGAACAATGTTATGTTTCATTCATTCATTTTTGCTAGAGTGCTAGAAGGTGCATGCACTCACCAGAGACAGAGAGAGAGGAACAGGAGAGATCAACCCCAGTGGAGAATGATCACACCATAATCCTTTCTCCTCCATCTTATCCTCCTTTTGGAATTTTGGGCACACAAGCACACACACCTGGAGTTTCTCAAGTTGCCTGTTCTGGGACTCAAACCATACAGTTGACCATGTGTGATCCAGCCACATCATTGTATTCTTTTTTTTTTTTTTTTAGAGGTTTTTGCTATAGGGCATGTGTGCTCGCCAGAGACAGACAGAATGACAGAAAGCAAGAAATCATCCCCCCAGGGGGGATGGCCATGCCGCAATCCCTTCTCCTCCATTCTCCCCTCGAGATCTTGGGCATGCACACATACGTGCCCGGCGTGAGTTTAAGCCACCAGGTCCGGTCAACTACATGGGAGTTCAGCAACATAGCCATCACACCAACTGCTGGTCCCATTTTTTTTTCCATCATTGTGTTCTTGTACTAAAAAAAAAAAAAAAATCACACTTTATGCCACAGATATGTATAATTATATGAAAATTTAAAATATATATATATAAAGTATGGGACCAGCAGATGGTGTAACAGTTACGTTGCTGGACTCGGACGTCATCAACCATGGTTCAAGTCCCAGATCTAGAGGCTTAAAATTCATGTCAAGTGTGTGTGCATGCATGCATGCCTAAAATCTCGAGAGGAGAATGAAAGAGAAGGGACTACAGCATGGCTGTCCCCCCTTAGGGGTGATTTCTCGCTTTCTGTCTCTCTGTTTTTGTCTGTCTCTCTGGTTTTGTCTGTTTCTCTGTCTGTTCACCTTATAGCAACAATCTCACAATCTCTCAAATACATACATACATATATATATATGTGTGTATGTGTATACAAAGAATAAAATTTATAAATAAAAAGATTCCTAGGTGATTCTGTTAAGTAATCAGGTTTGGGAACCACTAGACAAGATGATTTTTTTTTAAACTTTATTTATTTTAATTTGATCAGAGAGGGACAGAGTGAGAGAAAGAGAGATGGGGAAAGTGAGAAAGCAAGCTGCCAGGTTCAGGATTCAAACCATAGTCAGCCATGTGGGAACCCAGTGCCCTTAATCACCACACCACCTGCTGGCCTCTAGACTAGATGACTCTTTTTTTTTTTGGAGAAGTTTTTGCTATAGGGCGCTTGCAGTCACCAGAAAGACAGAAAGAGACAGAAAGTGAGAAATCGCCCCAGGGGGGATGGCTGAGCTGCAATCCCTTCTCCTCCATTCTCCTCTAGAGATCCTGAGCATACACACACATGTGCCCAGCGTAAGTTTAAGCCACTGGGTCCGGGACTTGAACCGAAGTCAACTACATGGGAATCCAGCAATATAGCCATCATGCCAACTGCTGGTCCCTAGATGGTTCTAAGAATATCAAGCTAACCATTGCCATTTGCTAGAATTTTAATCTTGTTTTTCTTTATGACAGAGTATATGCACACACACATAAAGAGAAGGAAGAGAGAGAAAGAGAAAAATGTGCATCCTCTATAGGCTTTAGCCACATCCCACTCTCCCTTCTCCAGTATTCTAGTCCATCAAACCCAGGCACTTATATGCCAGGGATTTAAACGAATGTTTCCATGTAGGATCAATTAATAGCTTCTCTTAAGCAGCACATTACTGCTGTACCATGGAACTAGCCTCATTAGGTAGAACTTTTATTTCTATGTGTTAATTAATCTTTTTCTCTAGAATTTCTCTCTCTTTTTCTCAGAATTTACATATTAAAACATCGTGTTTTATATCATACACACACACACACACACATATACTGGGTCGTTGGAAAAGTCATGATGAATTTTTGAATAGAAAAACACACCATAACTTTTCCAACAACCCAATATATACGTGTATATATGTGTATATTTGTGTGTATGGTGTGTGTGTGTGTGTGTGTGTGTGTGTGTGTGTACACACACAGACATATACAATAAAAAATAAATTTTAGGGCCAACAAATGGTGTGGAGGTTGACACAGCTGGATCCCACGTGGTCAAGAGCATTGTTAAGTCCTGGATCCAGAGGCTTGAAAAACCCACCAGACATGTATATGTGCATGCCCAAAATCTCAAGAGGAGAATGGAGAAGGGACTGCTGTGTAGCCACCCCTCCTGGGGGGTGATTTCTTTCTCTGCTTCTCTCTAGTGAGCAGTGAGCACAGGTACCCTATAGCAAAAAAA